AACCCCCCGCATCCCCAAAAGTTTCTCAGCGGATTTGGGCTCTACTCAGCAAGCGCAGTACAGCTTACAACTCAGATCTGAAAAAAAAAATAGTGGATGGTTGTTTTCTGACTGGTCGGCAGACCGCCGACTGGTCGGCTGCAATACGGTCGGCGGTCGGGGTCGGCGGTCGGCAGGGATGCAACCATGCCGGCAATGTTGTCAACGAAAGGCAGTCCACCAGAGATGCTGGCCTGTCCCCAATAACTTGTCACATGACACGCCTGTATGTTTATGAAATTTTCCGGATGCTTGCAGGATCACCCAGTTCAATGCCAACAAGAATGCCACCCTCGATCTTGGCTGACTGGTACCCTGCTACCTCTAATAGCTGATTCAGCAGCAAGTTGGAGTGCTGTTTCCCTCTGGCAAGCAAGAATGAATGAAGGAAATGTGTCCAGTTGCCTCCCCTCTTGCTTGCAGAGCTTCTTGGCCTTTCCTTAGCCCCCCTGAGCCGCTGTGTCTCCTGAACCGCATACTGAATCCCTGAATTATGCAGACTCAAGTGTGACTCTCGGGCCAATGTCCTCACCTCTGGCGGGTCAGCAAGCTCCCTTAACACAATCTGTCATAAGCCAGACCACAAGCAGATTGACACCAACTTCTCGATTGCCAAATGATGGTGAAATCTACCCAAGGTAGTTAAAGGCGGAAGTCCTGAGGTGGTAGACAGTACGTCTCAGATGGAAAGGGATGTGGGGAGCTCAGAAAGGCTAAAAACAGGACATGAGCCCTCAGAAGTCGACAAAACATAAGTCCATCGAGACATCTGGCAAAATTGGAACGATACATACAAGATTAGGATAGATGAAATACTGAACATTGTTGATTCATTGCACACTTCAGGATGATAAACAATGACCAAACACAGTAATGCATGTTGACAAACAATAGAAGAGTAGGACAAACCTCAACAGACTCATGAAAACAAAAGAATGAACAACGAACCTGAGAACCAATGTGTAGAGGGAGTGAGGCAAACATTGTGGTGATTGAGCCCTAAGCCTCTTAGACATAGAGAACCAGTACTTCCGAGCCTCTTCTTCCCAATGGGGATTTCTGCTGTGCACAGCATGGACACTTGTTTTTTTTTTTTTTTTTGGTGCCTGGTTCCGCCAGTCGTTTCGGTCTGTCAGATGCGAGCCCTGGAGGCTGTGTCGGTCATGATGGCTGGTGAAGGTACTAGTGATTTCAGGGACCACCTAGTCTTGGCATAGTGTCCTTGGGACACAGGAATCAGGTGGAATTGGTGCCTTTATCGGTGCCTCCCCTCCTCCCTCTCCCACCCCATCAAAAAACAAAACAAAAAAAGAAACGGAAAACAAGCGCAATGACTTATCCAGTGCTGTGAAGTCCTCATGCAAGCATGTAACAAAATCCTTTGACATGTTGTGATTCCTGTGAGTGCGGTCATGTCTTAGCCTTCAGCGTGCAGATTGTGCATCGTGCGCAAACTGCAGACTTAAAGTGGTTCGCAAATGGATCATCAGTAGAGGGCTGTCATTCGAAGATTGGTGCATTCAACTGCATGCGCCTAAAGTTTGTTGGGAGCATTGAGATGCCTTAGCAGTGAGTAGATATGTTTAGCGGCCTTAGCAGTGAGTAGATATGTTTAGCGATTGACAGAGATTCAGTGTATTTCGGTTTGCCAGAAAAAGAGAGGTGGTAACCTTTTCCTTGGAATGTTCAAGTAACAATTTTGCAGTTTTGGACAGGAAAGAGATATGGTGATCGATGCCCCATTGGTTTGTGAATTGCCGTTGAATAATTGAATTACCAAATTGCATTTGAAATTTTTGAATTGCTGAATATCTCATGGGGCACAGGCAGGTGGTTGTCTGTTGATTGCTGCACTGCACTATCCTTCAGTTGCTAAGTGAATCATTGACCGGAAGCAGAGCGGGGACCAATCACTGAGCTGCATGTTGGAGTTCCTGTACAGATTGGATGGGTTGACGATGGGCTGTCAACAATCCATAAGGGGTAAGAACTTATGAAGAAGTGCGAAGAACTGATGAAGTCTCTGTTGGAAATGGTATTATATCCGAAGGCTTTGCTGCTTGTTTGAGTACCGGTTTGTTGATGCAGTGATAGGATCATTTCATTGCAATCATGACAATGAGAATGGGGTGTCATTGTCTGCAAACGTTGATGTGTGCAGTCAGTTTCCAAGGAACGGGTGGATTTCCTGAATCTTGTCAACAAAGAGGTGAGTTATTTCCGTGGTTGGTTAGGTGGACCTTTTCGTTGTCTTTCCTCTGTTTATGGTGACCTCCGTTTTTCGCATCTTTGTTTTTTTCGGTTGTGGATTTCGTCTCTCTTTCTTTTATCAATCTCCATATGGGTACAGGTTGTCGTCTCTTACTTGTCAGGCCTTTTCTTCGTTTCCTCCTCTGAAAATTTAAGCAAGTAGACTTATGTCTGGGGCTGTCTCTCAGGGCATACTCACACTGCCGTATTCACCCGAATAGAACACCCAGTCATTATAGCTGTATCGGGACTTAAAATTGCACCAAAGGCGGCTATAATGACGGGGTAGGACCTTTCTTCCGCAAGATTTGTGGTGCAAGGAACCAGCATATGAGAGCACAAACCCTTCGAGATGCAAGGTGTCATCGAAGACCATGCATGAGTAAGCCCCTCAACTGTCTGTGTATGAGGCTGCGAATCCCGCCCAGGGCCTGCACTTTCGGAAAAGCCTAGAAGGCCCTGGAATTTCCTTGCTGCTCGGCCTGTGTTTCCCCAACCGACTGGCGCGACGAAACTGCCTGGACCCCAACTACGAATTTGACAGCTTAGGGCCTCTGGCGATTTGTTAGGCCCGCCATCACTTAGGGCGGGCACATTTGTTGCAGGGGGGGCCTTAGGCCTGCCGAGGACCCATATCATCGCATTTATTATTAGTATTTTACTATTTGTTTTTCGTATTTTATTTTTATTTCAAATTTGGTAAGGAATTTGGATGTAATGCTCAGGCAAATCTTGTTATTTTTCTTCATAACATATCGTTTTATCCTTGGTTAGGCCGACGCCCAGTCCAGACGGACCGGGCGTGACGGACCGGGCCAGACGGACTGGGGGGGGGTCCGCCCGGCAAAACCAGACGAGGCAAAAAACATCCCAGGAATTTAATTCTTTTTTTTTGAAGGTGGGGTTGGAGTGCACTCGCTGAGAGGAGCCCGAATCCGCAGAGAAACTTGTGAAAGGCATGTGTGTTGGGGGAGTGGGGGTGAAGGGGGGGGGGGGGGGGGGGG